CTGTCTCTCACTTTGTCTCCATGTTTGCTCCCTTGAGAATTTGTTGCTCCTTCTAAGAAAAACTGAATCACCCCCACTTGGTCTTCCTTTTTTATGAGCTTCATGTGGCCTGTGAGTTGCATCTTGGGCATTTCAAGGTTCTGGGCTAATATCCAATAATCAGTGAGTGAATATCATGTGTGTTCTTTTGTGATTGGCTTACTTCACTCAGGATGATAATTTCTAGTTCCATCCATTTACCTAGGAACCTCTCGAATTCATTGTTTTTAATAGCTGAGTAATACTCCATATTGTAAATATACCACATATTTTGAATCCATTCCTCAGTTGAAGGACATCTGGGTTCTTTCCAGCTCCTGGCTATTATAAACAAGGCTGCTATGAACATAGTTGAGCATATGTCCTTGTTATATGTTCGAGCATCTTCTGGGTATATGCCTAGGAGTGGTATAGCTGGATCCTCGGGTAATGCTATGTCCAATTTTCTGAGGAACCCCCAGACTGATTTCCAAAGTGGTTGCACCATCTTGCAGTCCCACCAACAATGGAGGAGTGTTCCTCTTTCTCCACACCCTCGCCAGCATCTACTATCACCTGAGTTCTTAATCTTAGCCATTCTGACTGGTGTGAGATAGAATCTCAGGGTTGTTTTGATTTGCATTTCCCTGATGACTAAAGACATTGAACATTTCTTTAGGTGCTTCTTGGCCATTCGAGTTTCTTCCATTGAAAATTCTTTGTTAAGCTCTATACCCCATTTTTTAATAGGGTAATTTGGTTGTCTGGAGTCTAATTTCTTGAGTTCTTTGTATATATTGGATATTAGGCCTCTATCAGATGTAGGATTGGTAAAGATCTTTTCCCAATTTGTTGGTTGTCGTTTTGTCCTATTGACAGTGTCCTTTGCCTTACAGAAACTTTGCAATTTTATGAAGTCCCATTTGTCAATTCTTGATCTTAGAGCATATGCCATTGGTGTTCTGTTCAGGAACTTTTCCCCTGTGCCCAAGTATTCGAGGGTCTTCCCCACCTTCTCTTCTATTAGTTTCAGTGTATCTGGTTTTATGTGGAGGTCCTTTATCCACTTAGACTTGAGCTTTGTACAAGGAGATAAGAATGGATCAATTTTCATTCTTCTACATGTTGTCCTCCAGTTGAACCAGCACCATTTGTTGAAAATGCTGTCCTTTTTCCACTGGACAGTTTTAGCTCCTTTGTCAAAGATCAAGTGACCATAGGAGTGTGGGTTCATTTGGGGGCTTCAATTCTATTCCATTGATCTTCCTGCCTGTCTCTGTACCAATACCAGGTAGTTTTTATCACTATTGCTCTGTAGTACAGCTTTAGGTCAGGGATGGTGATTCCTCCAGAGGTTCTTTTATTGTTGAGAATAGTTTTCGCTATCCTGGGTTTTTTGTTATTCCATATGGATTTGAGAATTTCCTTTTCTAAGTCTGTGAAGAATTGAGTTGGGATTTTAATGGGGATTGCATTGAATCTGTAGATTGCTTTTGGCAAGATGGCCATTTTTATTATATTAATCCTGCCAATCCATGAGCATGGGAGATCTTTCCATCTTCTGAGATCTTCTTCAATTTCTTTCTTCAGGGACTTGAAGTTCTTGTCATACAGGTCTTTCACTTGCTTGGTTAGATTCACACCAAGGTATTTTATATTATTTGCAACTATTGTGAAGGGTGTCATTTCCCTAATTTCTTTTTCAGTCTGTTTATCTTTCATGTAGAGGAAGGCTACTGATTTGTTTGAGTTGATTTTATAACCAGCCACTTTGCTGAAGTTGTTTATCAGGTTTAGGAGTTCTCTGGTGGAAGTTTGGGGGTCACTTAAGTATACTATCATATCATCTGCAAATAGTGATATTTTGACTTCTTCCTTTCCTATTTGTATCCCTTTGACTTCTTTTTGTTGTCTAATTGCTCTGGCTAGGACTTCCAGTACTATATTGAATAGGTAGGGGGAGAGTGGGCAGCCTTGTCTAGTCCCTGATCTTAGTGGGATTGCTTCAAGTTTCTCTCCATTTAGCTTGATGTTGGCTACTGGTTTGCTGTAAATTGCTTTTAGTATGTTTAGGTAGGGGCCTTGAATTCCTGATCTTTCCAAGACTTTTATCATGAAGGCATGTTGAATTTTGTCAAATGCTTTCTCAGCATCTAGTGAGATGATCATGTGGTTTTTTTTCTTTGAGTTTGTTTATATAGTGGATTACATTGATGGATTTCCGAATATTGAACCATCCCTGCATTCCTGGGATAAAACCTACTTGATCATGATGGATTATTGTTTTGATGTGATCTTGGATTCGGCTTGCTAGAATTTTATTGAGTATTTTTGCATCGATGTTCATAAGGGAGATTGGTCTGAAGATCTCTTTCTTTGTTGGGTCTTTGTGGGGTTTGGGTATGAGTGTAATTGTAATTGTAGCTTCATAGAACGAATTGGGTAGTGTTCTTTCTGTTTCTATTTTGTGGAATAGTTTGAAGAGAATTGGTATTAGGTCTTCCTTGAAGGTCTGATAAAATTCAGCACTAAAACCATCTGGTCTTGGGCTTTTTTTAGTGGGAAGACTTTTAATGACTGCTGCTATTTCCCTAGGGGTTATGGGACTATTTAGATGGTTTATCTGTTCCTGGTTTAACTTTGGGACCTGGTATCTGTCTAGGAAATTGTCCATTTCATCCAGGTTTTCCAGTTTTGTTGAGTATAGGCCTTTGTAGTAGGATCTGATGATTTTTTTATTTTCTTCAGGTTCTGTTGTTATGTCTCCCTTTTCAGTTCTGATTTTATTAATTTGGATACTGTCTCTGTGCCCTCTGGTTAATCTGGCTAACGGTTTATCTATCTTATTGATTTTGTCAAAGAACCAACTCCTGGTTTTATTTATATTTTGTATTGTTCTTTCTGTTTCTATTTGGTTGATTTCAGCCCTGAGTTTGATTATTTCCTGCCTTCTACTCATCCTTCGTATATTTGCTTCTTTTTGTTCTAGAGCTTTTAGTTGTGCAGTCAACTTGTTAGTGTGTGCTCTTTCCAGTTTCTTTTTGTAGGCACTTAGAGCTATGAGTTTTCCTCTTAGCACTGCCTTCATGGAGTCCCACAAGTTTTGGTATGATGTGTCCTCATTTTCATTGAATTCTAAAGAGTCTTTAATTTCTTTCTTTATTTCTTCCTTGAGCAAGTCATCATTGAGTAGAGAGTTGTTCAGTTTCCATGTGCATGTGGGTTTTCCATTGGTTTTGTCATTATTAAAGACCTGTCTTATTCTGTGGTGATCTGATAAGATGCAAGGGATTATTTCAATCTTTTTTTATCTGTAGAGGCTTGTTTTGTGACCAATTATATGGTCTATTTTGGAGAAGGTACCATGAGGTGCTGAGAAAAAGGTATATTCTTTTGTTTTAGGATGAAATGTTCTATAGATGTCTGTTAAGTCCATTTGGTTCATAACTTCTGTTAATGTCAAAGTGTCTCTGTTTAGTTTCTGTTTCCATGATCTGTCCATTGCTGAGAGTGGGGTGTTGAAATCCCCCACTATTATTGTATGAGGTGTAATATGAGTTTTGACCTTTAGTAAAGTTTCTTTTATGTATGTAGGTGCCCTTGCATTTGGAGCATAGATGTTCAGAATTAAGAGTTCACCTTGGTAGATTTTTCCTTTGATGAGTATGAAGTGTCCTTCCTTATCTTTTTTGATTAATTTTGGATGAAAGTCCATTTTATTTGATATTAGAATGGCTACTCCAGCTTGTTTCTTGGGACCATTGGCTTGGAAAATTGTTTTCCACCCTTTTATTCTGAGGTAGTGTCTGTCTTTGTCACTGAGGTACATTTCTTGTATGCAGCAAAATTCTGGGTTTTGTTTGTGTATCCAGTCTGATAGTCTGTGTCTTTTTATTGGGAAATTGAGACCATTGATGTTAAGAGATATTAAGGAACAATGATTGTGGCTTCCTGTTATTTTTGCTATTAGAGGTAAAGTTATGTTTGTATAGTTATCTTCTTTTGGGGTTGTTGGAAGATTACTTCCTTGCTTTTTCTAGGTTGTAGTTTCCCTCCTTGTGTTGGCGTTTTCCATCAATTATCTTTTGAAGTGCTGGGTTTGTGGGAAGATATTGTGCAAATTTGGTTTTGTCATGGAATATCTTGGTTTCACCATCTATAGTGATTGAGAGTTTTGCTGGGTATAGTAATCTGGGCTGGCAATTGTGTTCTCTTGTCAGGGGCCAGGAAAATATACCCTGGAGCTAAAACACTTGGCTTGGGCAGCCTGCCCTTTGCCACCGTGAGAACAACAGTTACTTCCTTGTTCTCAGCATGCTTGCACAGAGCTTGCGGCTTACCACGGAGAGTTCAGTTTGCCCCCTTTCCCAACCCCTTACTCAAGCCCCTTACCCAAATGTTCCCTTATCTAACTTTAGTTTTCCATTCCCCACCCAACCACAAGTTCCCTAACCCAGTTCCCTAAACCCTTGAAGAGGCCACCCCCTCCTCCTACTCCCTACAGTATATCTTGTAGCAGCTTCCGCAATAAAGTGAGACCTTGACAAGACTCAGCTGGCTCTGTGCCTTCTTTCTCCTTGCTTGGTCTCGCGCCTCTTTCTCCCCTGTTTCTTCCCATTAGGCTCGCCTTCTCCGAGGGACCCTGCGACAAAAGCTGCCCCGCGGGACGGGGCAAGTGGCGCCCGAACAGGGACCCCTCGTGGGGTGAAGACGAGTCGAACGAGGTCCCGATCGTAGCCGGCCGGCTTTGAATACTCCGAAGACTGTGAACTCGCCAGTCCGACGAGTGGTGAGTCACCTCGTTCAATGTTTTTCAAGAACAGGGCATAAAACGTATGGATTTTTATCTGTGGATGGGAGTAGGTCTTGTATTAGAGCTTATTTTTGTTATCCTGTTGTGTTCTTGTTGCAATTGGTAGAGAGTGCACAAGTTCACCTTGTTTCCCTGAAGACTGCTGATCGGTGGCCAACGAGCAGCAGTCATGGGTCAGAAACTTTCTAAAGAGGCAGTTTTTATTCAAGACCTAAAAAATAGTCTTAGGGAAAGAGGTATAAGAGTTAAAAAGAAAGATCTTTTGAAATTTTTCCTGTATATTGATGGGGCATGTCCCTGGTTTATAATTGATGGTCCTACCATCCATCCAAAAAAGTGGCAAAAAGTGGGACGAGAACTTAATGATAAATTGATCAGAGAAGGACCTGAGAGTGTCCCAGCCACTGTTTTTTCCTATTGGGGACTTATCAGAGATATTCTAGAGGCAGATGATGATGATCCTCAAAAAAGGCGTCTCCTTTCTGTTGCCGAGTTTTGTCTCCGGCCGCTTTCACCACCGGCCCCCAAGGCCCCCTCCAGAGCCTCGTCAGTTGCTATTGATATGCCTTCAGAGGTTGCTTCAGAGGTTACTTCCTCAAAACATTTGCCTCAACAAATGTATCCATCTCTTATTGCTCTTAGAGAAGAGCCTCTGGACCCAGGAGATGCTGCCACCCTGGAGGAAGAGGCTGCCAGATATCATGACCCAGATTGGTCCTCACCCCCTCCCTACCCTTTGCCACCAACCCTCACAGGCCCAGCGCTTCTTCCTTCTTTACGAGCGCCCCTGTGCAAAGCCAAGGCTGACCTTACAGCCAAAGTTGGAGAGCTAACAGAAGTCCTTAACCTGCAAAAACAATGTCTTGATCTTTCTAAACAGTTTGACAGTCTGCAGATTTCCCTTAAAAATACCTTTTTTCCCCAGACCTCAGAGAGTAAAATAACAAAAAGCCGCCAGAGGCCCACCAATAAATCAGGGCCGAAAGTATTTCCTGTTCTCACCCGAGCTCGTGCAGCAGCACTTGAGCAGAGGCCAGAGCCCTCAGCCCCTGATACTACTGAAGCCCTTTCCGATCTTGAATATGATCCAGATACTGATAATCAGCCATCTAGTGATAGTGAGGGTGAGGGAACTGACCAAAGAAATTATAAAACTCTTCAGCCTGCATTTAAGTCACTTAAATTTAAACATATTAAAGATCTCCATAATGCCATTAAAAATTATGGTGCAAATGCTCCCTTTACGCTGTCTCTTCTTGAGAGCTTGTCAGGCAATGGATATCTTTTACCAGGAGAGTGGATTAAAGTAATAAAAACAGTTGTTGACCGACCTCAATTTTTAATTTGGAAGGCAGAGTTTTTAGATCGGGCACAAAATATTGCCAGCCGCAACCAGAAAAATCCCTTAGCCCCCACAGCTTCCTGGTCAGCTGATAAGATCTGCGGGCAGGGCAAGTATTCTTCTGAAGAAAAACAAAAGGGCTTATCGCCTGGTATTTTAGCTCAGACTGCTGAGGCCGCTTTAGGTGCTTGGAGAGTGATGCCTCCCAAAGGATCTGCTTTCTCTCCGCTTAGCAAAATTACACAAGGCCACCAAGAACCCTTCGCACAGTTTGTTGCGAGGATTCAAGAAACTGTAGAGAGAATGTTTGGGCCTGAAGAGACAGAGGGAAAGATGGTTAAACAACTTATATTAGAAAATGCAAACCCCGCCTGTCGTGCTGCCCTACGTGGTAAAAATAATTTAGAAGTTAGTCAAATGATTCGTCTTTGTGCAGATATAGATCCCTTTGGACATCAAGTGGGACAGGCCATTACTATGGCCATGGGGGCAATGATGGATAAGGCAGCTACTATGGCTATAGGAGCAGTGATGAATAAGACATCTGATAAATCCTGCTTCCGCTGTGGCCAAACGGGCCACTTTGCCCGCCAATGCCCTACTAATGTTGCTGCCCCTGCCCCCCTTGGCTCAGAGGCGAATAAACAACACTCTATGCCCTTAGGGCTCTGCCCTCGGTGTAAACGTGGCCGACACTGGGCTAAACATTGCCGTTCTAAAACAGATGTTTTGGGAAATCCTCTCCCACCGATTTCGGGAAACGGAGGGCGGGGCCAGCCCCGGGCCCCTCAGCCAGTCTCCCTCCTGCCAGCCTCGGGGAACAGCCAGGCAGGGCCACAACAAACCCTTCAGCAGCAACTCCCAAACCAGCCTCAACCCTCCGTAGGGCTACCCCAGGGAGTCCAGGATTGGACCTCAGTGCCTCCTCCGATACAATATTAGAGGCCGACGAAGGAGTCCAGATAATTCCCACTGGTGTTTTTGGTTGGCCCCCCCCCCCCACCCAAAACTTATTTTTTGATTTTAGGTAGAGCATCAGCCACCCTTCAAGGAGTTACTATTTTTCCTTCGATTATTGATAATGATTATTCTGGAGAGATTAAAGTGCTAGCCTCCAGTTCCAGAGGGCCCCTTTATATTCGTCAAGGACAACGTATTGCACAAGCTCTTCCCCTCCCATTAGATACATCAGCACCCTCTTTGGGGCCGCCCCGGGGTGCCTCCGCCCCAGGGTCTTCCGATGCCTATTGGGTTCAACAACTTTCACAAGAACGCCCACAGCTGAAACTTAAACTTAATGGCAAAACCTTTGAGGGCATTCTTGATTCAGGGGCAGATTCTACAGTAATTTCACAGGCCCATTGGCCTGCTTCTTGGCCCTGTCAACCCTCCTTAACCCATCTTCAAGGCATTGGTCAGTCTATTAACACCCTTCAAAGCTCACAGCTGTTAACTTGGGAAGATCCTGAAGGAAATTCTGGACATGTTAGACCTTTTATTGTTCCAGGCCTCCCCATTAATTTGTGGGGCCGAGATATTTTAAGTCAAATGGGAGTTCTTATGTTTAGCCCCTCTGTGACTGTTACCCATCAGATGCTAGATCAGGGATTTATTCCTGGCCAGGGCCTGGGTAAGAATAATCAGGGGATTTCCACTCCCCTTGAGGTCCGGCCAAAAAATTCGCGTTCAGGATTAGGTTATAATTCAAATTTTTCTTGAGGGCCACTGCTCCTCCTGCACGTCAGGCAGATAAAATCACCTGGAAATCAGATTCCCCTGTCTGGCTCGATCAGTGGCCCCTTCCTCAACATAAGCTTTCAGCGGCCATGCAGTTGGTGCAGGAACAGTTAGATGCTGGCCACATTGAACCTTCCATCTCTCCTTGGAATACCCCTATATTTGTAATTAAGAAAAAAGGGGGAAAGTGGAGATTACTCCAGGATCTTAGAGAAGTTAATAAGACCATGGTTCCGATGGGAGCACTTCAGCCTGGCCTCCCCTCCCCTGTGGCTATACCTAAAGGATATTATAAAATGGTTATTGATTTAAAAGATTGTTTTTTTTGTATTCCCTTACATCCAGAAGATAGTAAGCGTTTTGCTTTTAGCCTTCCCATTGTTAATTGTATTGGCCCATCCCCACGGTTTCAATGGAGAGTCCTGCCCCAGGGCATGGCTAATAGTCCCACCTTGTGTCAAAAATTCGTGGCGCAGGCCATTGATCCCTTTCGTCTTCAACATCCTGAATTATATATCATTCATTATATGGATGATATTCTTTTAGCTGGCCCTGATGAGATTGCTTTATTTGAGATAAGTCAACAGCTGGTTACTGCCCTCCAAGATCTTGGATTACAGATAGCCCCTGAAAAGGTTCAGCTCCAGCCTCCCCATTTATTTTTAGGTTTTGAGCTTTATCCTTCTAAAATTTTATCCCAAAAGATTGAGCTTAGAAAGGACTCCCTACGTACACTTAATGATTTTCAGCGTCTT